TTAATATAAAAATAAAATTTAATTTTCACTATATTTTATTAATAAATTTAGTATCTAATGTATTATTTTTAATTATTATTATATATAATTAATAAATTTTATATAATATATAAAATCAAATTTATAGTTAATAATAAAAATATTTAATTTTTTAAATTTATTATAATTTAATAAAAAATTATTTAAAAAATATAAATTTTTTATATATACTTATTAATATTTATTAGAAAGTTTACTAATTAATTTTTTAAGTTAAAAAATTAATTTTAAAAAATATCTAAAAAATTTATTATTTAATTCTAATTAAAATTTTATAAAAATATCATATAAAAAATTTCAATTCTATTTTTCTTTATTATACAATATAAATTTATTAAATTATTACAAAATTTTATTAAAATTTCTTATAATTTAACAAATAAACTTAATAATAATATATAAAATAACTTATTAAAATTATTTTATTCAAGTTATTTTTTAAATTTTACTATTTTTTTATACTTAAATATTAAAAAAATATATATATATACAGAAATTATTTTTTATTTTTAAAATATTATTTTTTTAATTTTTTATTTGATTTTAAAAAATAGTAAAGTTTTTTATCACTGATTATATATTTAATAAATATAATTTATAAAATAAATTCGGTTTAATATTTTAATAAATAAAATTATATTCTGATTAATAAAATCCCAAATAAATAATACAATACATAAAATTTTAAAAATATTAATTTAAATATATAAAATATTGAACTCATATATTATATCAGAATTTTATATATTTAAAATATTATTAGTTTGAGATTTCATTCATTTAAATGTTATTTAATGTGATTCTATTGATTTTGTAAGATGACTAAGACTGTGACGACTTTATGATAAAAAGTTTTGCATTTACTATGCTCTATTTAATAAATTTGATCACTATGGATTAATATTTTTATTCCAGTTTTATTATTAACTGATAAGTAAATCAAAGATATCAGCAAGACTATTCTAATCTAAAAATTGATCCATTCAACCAAAAATCAATTTGTGACCTTCAAGCAAGAATAACTTACTAACCAAAATATCAATTCATTCCAAATCGATATAAATCAAACGTTAATACATATCGGTATGCTGGATGGGCAGATCCTTTTTTATGTACATCTCGTATAAAATTTTTAATTAAGTGCTATTTGATAAAGATAAACTTAAACCCAAAACGGATTAAAATTTTGCAAACTTACATCTAATGCTAATCCTCTCGAATAGTAGTTTAAGTCAATAATCGTCAAATTGATAACGATAAAAAATTCACGTCGGTTATATTCAAAATTTCAAACAATTAAATGCTTACATATATACATGTTTATTATTCTATTATCTTTGAACGACAACACGACCAATCATTCAAGTACAAATTTCACGGGCCAGTCATACAAAAATTAATCATCTCACTTTTAAAAATGACTATTAATACCTTCACGCAACGACGGTAGCGTAGACGGATTCGCAAACGCAAAATTATGCGCATGTTCAAGATGGTACTTTAGCCCATTCGGATTCTTGTATCGCTTGTCACAACCTTCGATCTTACAGAAATACGGTTTCGGGACTGAGCGTGTACCGTCATCGTCAGGACCCGAGGAACGATGTCCGTGGATGTTGTGATACTTTAGTCCGTTCGAGTTTTTGTATGTTTTTTCGCATCCGAGTACTGAGCATCTGTAAGGTTTTAGAATCACGTCGCTGCTTGCTTCTTCACGTGCCATCCTTGTCATTTTTGGTATTTTTATTTTTAGACTGCTGTTGTTTTGTAAGCTACGATTGCTATGATTATAATTGTTATTATTGAGAATGTTGTTGCTATTATTCATGTTATTGTTAGTATTATTGAGATTGATATTGTTAGAGGTATAGTTATTAGTGAGATGCGGAATTTGAAGAGGATGGGACGTCGTTATTGCTGCTGATGAAGGAGGTTGTTGCTGCTGTGCTTGCACTGAAGAAATCTCCATGTTTGACAATGAAGATGTTGAAGCAGCACGTGCGGCGGCGGTTGCAGCTAAATGTTTTTGAGTCTGCTGAGCTTGTATACGAAGCAATTCTGAGCCAACATGATCGCTTCGTGATGAAAGAGAAGGAAGCGAGTAATTCTGCGGTGAAGAGTTGTAATATGTCAGTTTAGGATTTGGTGTTTGATAATCGTAAATTTTAGCGTCGTTTCCATTATTACTGTCTATATCTTGATGGTTACTATGGTTTTTGTATTGGTGATGATGAGGCGAAGACGAGGACGAATTGTGATTGTTGTGAGCATTAATAGTATTATGATGCTGATTATGTAATTGATGATAACTCTTCAATAGACTCGTGTGAGTATTATGTGTAAAAGTGACCTTATCAATGTCCATTAATGATGAACGATGATTATTATTATGAAATGGCGGCGATGATAAATTTGACGGTGAACTTGACAATAAAGATGATGATGATGATGATGATGAGGCATTATGAAGATTTGGACCGGAAAACCGAGAGCTGCACAGTGGGACCAGAGAGGATTGATCGTAAATTTTTTGATTTAATTCCATGGATTATATTTATTTTGAGATTAATCCTACTTTAATTATAGCGATAACTACAAGAAAATTAATTGTTTATATTTGACGATAGAAATAAATCCTTTTTTATTGTCGTATATTACATACTCGACTCGAAAGAAAAAATTTTCCTCCCTCTTGCTTTTTGTTTTTTTATAATACAATCAGGCAGGAAAGAAAAGTAAAACAAATAAGTAAAAAGAAGAGTAAATGAGAAGAGCAGAGAGATAAATAAAAGTTAAAGGTAAAGCAAAAAAAAAAAAGTAAAGAGCAGAAGTAAGAAGGAGGAAATAAGAAAAATAAAAAAATCAGATAAATATACATAATGAATAATATGACATCATGACAAAATTTTTTTCAGATGTTACAGGCAATCAACATATAGAAGGCGGATAGGTTTTCCTCGTATAGTATAAGGCAAGAAAGAAAAAAATTTTCATTGGATGATTTTCAGCAATATCACGATTATAAAGACGCCGATCAAAAGGTGTGAATATATGAATATAGTCGAAGAATATTTGTATCAACCATCCCCCGTAGTTTACATAGTTTACATAAATGCACATATACTAAGGAAAAAAATTTTACGGCAGTTTTGAGCGAGGCAAACGACCAAGAAGTGTAATTTAATTGAATTTTGAGTTATACATGTAGTCGGAATTTGATCGGATTACCGTTTTGGGTCAGATATACGGCAGGTCGTCGATGAAAGAATTTATGCAATAAGGCGTGCATAGACGCGCGCGAGTACACATTTATTGTTAGATTTACTTTATTTTAAAAATATATATTCTTCGCGGAAGAAATATACAACAAACGTATTTCACATGTGTGGAAAAATAGATTAATGAGCAGCTTAATTGATAATAATAAATGTAGTATGTAGTAAATACAAAATATAAAATGTACGATTTTGATTTTATTCGATGGTTCTATTTTTTACGCCATCTTAATACTGCAAAAACCAGTTCATTATGCTTGTCTTTTGTTTGTTTTTTTTAAATGACTCTCGGTGGAATAATTAGTTAAAGCTAATATATTTTGTATGCATTTTGTGAATGATGGCGAAAATACGACAAAACGTATTGGGTGTTGGTCAAAACGCGTAATGCGCATATTCCCTTTCCCTGTTCGTGATTTGCATTATTATTTTTTCGGGATAACAAGTGTGAAATTTTCTTTCTTTCTAGTTCTTTGTTGGGATTCAAAATCATGCGTTTGTCCTTCGAAGGTTTTTTGTGTATTACAAGTGAACAGATACACAGGCAAAAAAATAGATAATTATAATAAAATCACAAAAGACCTCGTGAACAAACATTTACATGATAAGCTATTAAATAATGAGAGAGATAGATATAGTAAAAGAAAATTTTTTTATGGCATACAACAATAAATGTGTACGTGTACAAAAGTACAGATGTATAAAAATCATACAGAGCAAGACATGACATAACATAACATGGTGCAGGTTTCAGTCAGTGCTACTTTCTAGTTGCTTTATCTACGTACAGCATTTTTATGAGATTCTACGAAGAGTCCAAGATAAACTCTAAGCATTTTTTGTTTGGATATTGTCTTTTTTGTATTATGTTTTTTTAGGGTTTTGTTTGTGGTTGCACAATTGTTCGTTTTTTATATCTATTTTTTATGCGAATGATTTACGGAGTAAATAAATATTCCTGTTTGAATGATAGAAAAATTTTTTTAATTGCAGCTGTTGCTTTTGGTTCATTGATTTATGATCGATTGTTTTGGATATGTGGGGGGAGATACACAAAAAAGCCCTGAAATTGCGTGCTGTTTTTCGGTAGACTCTCGTAAAACATAGATATAGCATGTTTGAATTACAACTACAACTAAATACATGCATATTGCTTATTCTAATATATAATGTATTAAATATATTTATCAATTGTGACAAATTGATATTTCATAGTAAATAAATATAATCTTGAGAAATTGAAAATCTCTTATATGAGTGAAATGTAAATTAAGTACGTATAATTAATATAATAGTCAATATACTGTAGTCAAAAAGTGTTTATAACAGGATTTAATATAAGAAATGAATTTATTATAATTAGTTCTTAAAAGTGTGATTATAAATAATTAATTTTTATAATTAAATAAAATAATATGCAAAGGCTTATTATTTTTTCTTCAATTACAATTATAGGATAATTAATCCATTTACAATAATCATGTCTTTCTATAGTTATTCAATTTAAGAGCGAGAAAGATAATTATATCTTTTAAAATTTTTATATTTAATCGATGAATTTGAACCAATAAAATTGATCAGATCGGCGAATCAAGTGAAAAAATACAAAAATATAAAAACAGAAATTTAAATTAAACTAATATGATATTATTAATATAATCTAATATATAGTTTTTATCACTAAACTATTCCATAATTATTATATTACTACAGATTATTATTACTCTAAAATTTGCTATAATAAATAAAAATTAATAAATATAATTAAAACATAATGAATAATAATATAACAAATTGAGTAATAAATTCAATAATATTATATAGTTATATTTTAATAAGTAATTAATAATAAATCAGAATTAATAAAATATAACAATTCTTTAAAAGTTTTATAATATAACTAGATTTAAAAGAACTATTATAAATAAGTATTTTTATATATATTTCTTTATTAAAATAAATTAAAAAGATAAAGCTTTTTAAATTATATATAATCTAAGATAATAATATATTATATATAAAAGATTAATAAGAAATATATATTATCAAATAATTTTTAATATAATTTATATTTTTTATTTATTATATTATAAAAATAATTTATAATTAATTTTTAATATTATTATAAAAACTAATTAGATTTTTAGTATCTAAATATTAAATATTAATTTTAATAAACTAAATTTTATATATAAAACAATTTTATAAATAATTTATTTAAAATAAGAAATTAATAACAGATTTAGTATTAATATAATATTTAATAATTAAATAATTAATTTATATTTCAAATTTATTTGAAATTTAAGTTATTTTAATAATTTATTAAATATAAATCTTTCTATTATATAATATTAATAGAATTTTAATTATTATTTAATATAAATTTTTAGAATTTTATTTAAACTATAAGTTAAAAATTAAATTTTTTAATATTAAATTTTTAAATACATAATATTTAATTATTTAAATAAATTTTTTAATTATTATAAATTTATTAAATAAAATTCTTTTTAATTAATATTTATTAATAAGTATATAATAAAAAATTTTTATATTTAAAAGTATTTTTATATATTTATACAATAATTATAAATTCTTTTAAAATTTATATAATTTTAAAAAATTAAAAAATTAATATAATTATCTTTTTTTTTAAGGAATTAATTAAAAAAAATAATTATTTAAGAATTATATCTATAGAATTGATCAAAAGTAATGACTCAAAGGCTAAATTTATTAATAAAACATAGTGAAAATTGAAATTTTCTCTCTATATTAAAATTTATAATTTTAATAAGAAA